GGAGCAGGCAGGAGAGTGGTCAGGAATAGCCAAGGTCGGTGCAGGCAGAGTTCTAGCAGAGTCAAGATCAGGCAGGAATATCAGGCAGGAAGCAGACAGGATGCAGGTACAGGGGCTCATGGGAACAAACACCAAGGTACTGATTGCAGGCCTGGTCCTGCTTAAATACATCTCCTGCAATTAGCCTCAGGTGATGGCTTGACTGCAGGAGTAAGATTCTGGCTGCTGACAGCACCCGCTGGCCAGCACTGGTACTGCAGCCCACAAGGCAGGTGAGCCCCAGCACCACCTGTGGTGAGTCCATTCCTGACAAGAGGAATATAATTAGCTCTATACAGAGCCATTCTGAATGATATACCTAATCCCATAAGAGAGTGATACTCACACGAGTAACTGTTTATTCCAATAGTGCAGACTGACGTTAGAGGCCAATCCTACCCAACCCGTTTCATGATCAAGGACATCATCAGGAGCCGTGGCACATAGAAGTTATGGTGGATCACACAAGACATTGTACAGAAGATTCACTGCTTCACTTATAATGTATAAATGTGTCTTTTTTTTGGTATAGTGAGTGTTATAGGTCACTAATAGAGGAAATTTATATATTTATTTACTTTATAAATATTTGAAAGCACTAAAGAGCTTTTTGCAGATATATTGCTAATATGAATGTGAAAGTGATATATTCTATTTAAAGTTAACACATAATGGTAGCAAGTTATTTATGATGGTGTATAAAAAATGCAGAATATATTGATATTGATGTTATTTATATGACGTCCTCCCCAGGATGGGGCTGTGTTCCAGCATGATTTGTCACCTGCTGTGTCCACGAGACACAGATCGCTGTACCTGCCTGCTGTCAGTACCATGTGATCGCTGTGGCCAGTCACAACAGATCACATGACAATAGTACACAATGAAAGGCTTTGATTCATGCTTTTCATAGTGTACTATTGTGATGAGCTCAGTGATTGGTCACAGTGACCACATACTACAGACAGGGCCAATCAAAACCCATCTGTACCATGCAATTAGCTGTGGCCAATCACAGCTAATCACAATAGTAAACACTGAATGAATAGTTTTGATCCATAAAAAATGATTCCTTATAACTGAAAAAGTCAGTTATAGGCAATCATGGTGTGTAAAAATAAATCCTGATCACCTCCCCAGAGTACTATAGTGTTACTATGGTAACACTGTATTGCTCTAGTAACAGTACAGTGATCAATTTTCATATATATATATATATATATATATATATAATATATATAGAAATTCATTTTTAGACTCTATAACTTTCCTACAGGCTAAATAGTACAAACTGATTTGGGTTATTTTCACGAAAGAAATGTAGTAGAATACATTTTGGCCTAAATTTATGAATAAATACTATTTATTTGCAACATTTTTTAAAAGAAACAAAGACAATTTCAACATTTCCACTTTTTTTTTGTTTATTTAGCAAAAAATTAAAAGAGCAGTAGTGATTAAATACCACAAAAAGAAAGCTCTATTTTGTGTGAAAAAAAAAATATAATAATTTCATATGGGTATAGTGTTGACAATGTTAAAATATATGTTAGTGCCACATCCCTAATAATATATATTTATAAATAGAGAAATACCTGAAAAATGGGTACTTTTGAGGCACAGGATCAGTATAAAAACATTATTTATTGTGTATCAAAATCCAACATATGTGATATCTTCCTATTTCACATCAACAATACTGAATCATAAAAAAAATAAAAAGTTTACAACATCAAAGAACTCTTCTCTTCTTATATAATCCAATTCTTTATAGACTGTAGGCTCATTCTTTTTAGGCTTGGGTCAATGCGTTTCATGGACTTGATCCACTTCTTCAGGAGACTTCACCATATATATATATTTAACTATTAATAGAAACAAAAACATACAGTCAATAATGGATATTTCTCATTCTGGTTTGATAAAGTATCATATCTTGGGTGCATCTAGGGCCAGGTGGAAGAAAAACCAGGGGGCCAAACCCTTTAGGGACCCACAGGGGACAGTGCGATCTGAGCCACATTGTATTGACATAAATTTAAAAAAAAACCCCAGAATATTTAAATTACGTTACCTCCAAATGGATATTGGTATGCACCAAGTGGTTTCAAAACATTGTAGAGACGCTCTAGCCACGAACCTTCATTGTCTTCTATTTATATTCTCTTCATACCGCATAATCTTTTATTCGTTTTTTTTTTTTAATATATCATTTAAAGCCAATTATTACATTTGTAAACTATTGGGAGCAGGACAACATATAAAATGTATGCAACACTCACCTCTACAGATACACCCGCTCCATAGCCTAGCAATGAAAAAAAACCTCAAACAGGCTACTGTATATCCCTGCTGCTGACTCGTGAATAAAGCTGAAAACTCTATGTATAGTAGTAATAGAATATGGTAGAAAACTTCATTAATACACTACTCTATATTTAATAAAAGACCCATATTTGCCATAGTTTTGAGTATGATTAAATTAACTTAATCTGCCAAGATAAATAGCCTCAATGCCAAAGGGGCTCCAACAAGACTCCACAAACACAGCCAAATGGTACAGCATATTTTAAGACGGGCTAAATCCCCACAGTAGACTCATGAGTAAAGCTGAGAATCTCCTATATGATAATAATAACACATACTGTAGTAAAGGACCTTATTTAGACCTATACTATATACTTGGCAGGAAGCCAATATTTGCCACTGTTAAAATACATTGCTACAATATATTACCTTAATATGCCCGAATCGCTGGCCCCATGGCCGGAAAAACTCCACAAATACAAACGCAGCCGAGCGGTACAGCAAGGTCAGGTGCAATACAAATTCCACACAACAAAGAAGCAACATAGCCGGCCCGCAAGCGGAGGACCACGCATGTGCACTGCGCATACCTAGACGGCACTGACCCCTCCAGCCAATGCTGAAAGCACACAAAGCGCACAAGTGCAGAAAGCCCCACCCCAAATGCTGGCGGCCACCCAGGGACCAAGGCAATCACCACAGTGATCTCCAGGTGCCGGAGGTGAACATGAAAAATTATGCATGCCCACAACACCGCAAATTCCCAAACCAGGATGCGGTGCCCTACTACCCCTAAGAAAAACAAAGGGACTATGGCGCAAAAGGGATACACTCCTTGGATATCCTCCACACCTCACAACCCCCCCCCCCAGAGCACCCCAACAGACACCCTCCAGAAAGAACAACAGCAAAAAAAAACAAAACAAAACATTTAACCATACAAATAGAATATATATAAAATATATGTACAAACATAATGCCCTCAATAAAAGTTACCTGACATCAAAAACCATCAGAAAGAGTTCACACTCCCATAGACACAGATTAAATTAGCAAAGGCATACAATGTAATGGTCTCTATAAGAGTAAACACAAAGTATAATAATGGATGAGTATATAAAATGAAACTATAAGTAACTTACAAAACGCGTTGAGCCCAAGCCTAAAAAGAATGAGCCTAAAGTCTATAAAGAATTGGATTATATACTTTTCTTTTCTTTTTTTTATATGATTCAGTATTGTTGATGTGAAATAGGAAGATATCACATATGTTGGATTTTGACATACAGTTAATAATGTTTTTATACTGATGCTGTGCCTCAAAAGTCCCCATTTTTCGGTCTTTCTCTATTTATGGGTACATTTTTGCAAGACTGTGCAATTGTCATTCAAAGTGTGACAGTGCTGAAAACTGAAAATTGGCCTGGGCATAAAGGGGATAAAAGTGTCAGGTATTGAAGGGTTAAGAGAGTGCTATATACAGTTAAATACCATCAATGCTACAGCTGCTCCTTTTAAAAGCAGGCTTGCTTCAAGGTATGTTCTTCTTTTGGATCACTGTGGCTTATCTTCTTTTACACCATCCTCTTCACCCTGCACCAATTACCATATAATATTTTCCACTATTTTTCTTCAGCAAATTTAGAGTCTGATACATCATTATAAAGAAGGTATTTATCATATTATCTATGATGGACATCTATTTAATGTATAATCCCCCTTTGTGTTTTTTGTAAGAGGTGTTTATTTAGGATTTTGTATAAACATACAAAAAGAGAAATATGACAAAATAACTAATTCTTATAGATAGCATCCGCATGTGCATTACCCAACTTAAATAGTACAGGTCATGGTAACTCAGATCCCAATACAGATCTAAATCAGCACAGAGTATCCATAAGTAATCACAGCCCAAAAACAAACACATACTCACACACCAGCACCGTTATCCACCTCCAGTATAGCTTTGAGAATAATCAACAGTTACTAAGATGAGGTACATAAGCCCAGTGGTGTAACTAGAACCTTCAGGGCCCCAGTGTAAGAAACCATGAAGGGCCCCCTGATCCTGGTCGCAAGTACGAACTTTGTGACTCTGTTAGTGCTGCCACTGGTGTCAGTAGTTTTTTTTTTTTTTTTAATTTTTTTTACCATTTTTAAAGAAAGTTTTGACAATATTTTTTTTAAAATATTTTTTTTTAAATTTTTTAGGAGCCCCGTTTGGGGGCTTTGGTGAGATATCAGGGGTCTAAACAGACCTCTGATGTTCCAGCTTTGAGACAAAGCCCTCAATCTCCTTCTCGGCAGCCTTAGATGCACTGAATAAATGGATAGTAATCGCTCGCTACAGAGCTTCCTCTCCATTCACAAACTGAAACATAGTAAACACAGTTTACTATGTTTCAATCATAAATGGACATCGGTATGGATCACTGACTCTCCCATTCAGAAAAGGAAAAGGTTGGTAAATGACACATTTACCGGCCCCTTCCCTGCTCTCCAATCTGACAGATCCCCCCACAGTAGCCAGTGGGAGAGGGGGTGAAACCCAGCAGAGCTGTGGGGGACGAGGGGGGCCAGGAAAGAAGGGGGGGGGGGCTGCACAGGGGGTGCAGGAAAGAGCACAGGGGTCAGAGAGCACAGGAGGGGGACCAGGATAGAGCATTGGGAGCAGGAAAGAGAATGGGGGGGACTGGAGAGTACAGGGAGGCAGGAAAGAGCACAGGGGCTGGACAGCACAGGGAAGGGGAAGAGCACGGGGTCAGAGAAGCTCAGGGGTGCTCTATGTGCAGCCGAAGTGGCTGCACATAGAGGAACTGATCTCTCTATCTCCTCCTATCCAGGTAATACATGGGGGCTGGCATGGGTCCCCTGCAGCAATGGGACTGGGTAACAATTGTGACCCCTGCGACCCCTGTAGATACGCTGCTGCATAAGCTCCTTTTTTTTTTTATCAAGGAATTATGTGTTATAGAATAATGCCACATGTACTGTATATTTCAGTTTAATGGACTTTGTGGTACCGTATTTTTCGCCATTATAAGACGCACTTTTTCTTCCCCAAAACTGGGGGGGAAATGTCAGTGCGTCTTATGGAGCGAATATGGAGCGGCGGTCCGGTATTTCCACAGCGGCTGTTGTCAGAATACCGGGCCGGCTCGCTCAGCTCTGCAGCGGGACCTTACCTGTTCCTCTCTATCCAGCGGCGTGCTGTCTTCCCGGCTTCTGTAGTGTGGGCACTGGGCATGACAGCCGGGTGCCAAGTGCGCATGCGCAAGAAGCGGTGCTTTTTGTGAATGGTAAGGCGGTACCTGGGACACATGACAGATCCCAGAAGCCGCCGGACCAATCACAAAGCGCAAGTGCTTCTCGCTCCATGCGCACTGGGCACCCGGCTGTCATGCCCCGTAGCGCCATTCATTGTACAGAAAGCCGGGAAGACAGCGCGCGGCTGATCGAGGAACAGGTAAGATCAAATAAAAACTCTGCGGAAGTCAGAGCGGGTACCTGTCAAATTCAGGTACCCGCTCCCCACCTCCCCAAAGGTCAGCAGTCATCTGTGCTGTCCGCAGTCTCTGGTCATCCCTGTGCTGTCCGCAGTCTCTGGTCATCCCTGTGCTGTCCGCAGTCTCTGGTCATCCCTGTGCTCGTCGCAGTCTCTGGTCATCCCCCTGTACTGTGTCTGCAGTCCATTAGTTCAGAAAATTTTTTTTTCCTGTTTTCTGCCTCTAAAACCTAGGTGCGTCCTCTATGGTCAGGTGCGTCTTATACGGCGAAAAATTACGGTAATGTATTGTTGAAAAGGTAATTTTTGGGAGCACAAAGAGAAGGGCTTGCGTTAAGAGGATTAGGTAGAAAATAATAGATTTATATTATTTGCTGGCCTACTTGTGATAGCAATACAGTAAAAAATTTAAAAAGCGTAAAATAAAATAAAAGAAAAGAACTGTATAAAAATATATTAAAATTTATTTCATTTGGTGGTATTTCATCACCACTGCTTTTTTTAATTTTTTTGCTATATAAATGAAAAAATACAGACATTTTTGAAAAAAAAGGTAATACTTTCTGTTATACTTTCTGATTATACTGTAAAGCGTAATGCTTTGCAATCAAATTTCTTCTTAAATCATAAATTTAGGTCAAAATGTTGTTCTTTGCAAAAAAAAAAAATCCCAAAAGGTGTATTTTATTTAGTCCTATGAGAAAGTTATTGCATCGGCAAACTATGGTATAGTAGATAGATAGATAGATAGATAGTAGATAGATGAAAATTGATCAAATCTGAAGTACTGATGCCCGTAGCTCATTTCTTGAGGCCCTTAAAAAGCTATGACAGTAAAAATACCCCCCAAAATGACCCCTTTTGGCAAAAGAGACAGTCCTGATGAGATATTTAAAGGATAAGTTCACCTTCATAAACATGTTACATGTTACACCCATATTCAAGGGTGTAACATGTTATGATCAGACTGGCCCCCTGTTAACTCCTGCTCCCCGCTTTGACAGCTAGCGGGGGATCTCTCTCCCCTCGCTAGCTGTCAATTTTTTTTAAAAAAATGGCCACAATGAAACGTCACCACGGGGCGGAATGACCATTTGGAAAATCGGGCCAAGGTCTCCGAGGGCACGGGGCCGGGGTCAGTAGGGGGCCCCATCGAGATGCACATTGGTACATTGTTTTAATAGGCTTTTTTGCCTTGGGGACAAGGAACAGGGGCTCCATGATCCACTATTGCACGGGGGGCCCCAATGAGTTGTCAATCGACCCTGCACGTCCACTAATTCACAGTCATCTGGGAATGAGAGGACTATTTATGTCCTGACACATTAGAAGCTGACAAATTGTAGACCTAAATGAACTACACGGCAATGTGAAGCACCATGGTAGTTCTTGTACTCCCCTTTCCCCGGAGGGCCTGCATGGCATTTGTGATTGGGTGATTGGTTGGGATGGGAATGGTTTACAGGGGTCCCGCAAACAAAAATAAAAAATTTCAAAATTTTTCTACCCGCAAAAAAATGTGCAAATTTTTTAATTTTTTTTTTAAAAAAGGGTTTAACTTATTTTTAAGAGGCATTGTTAAAAATTTTTTGAACTTGTCCTTTTTTTTTTCCCCAAATTTTTTTAAAAAATTAAAAAAATTTTAAAACAATTTTCTTTTTCACAAATTTTTTTTTTAAAAACTGTCAGAAGTGCAGTATACAATTTACAGATTATACCAAGTAAGCTTTAAAGGGGAATGTTTGAGAATACAACTCAAAAAAAACTGCCAAAAAAATCAAGGTTTGGGCAATAATTTGTTTAAAGGGCGTTTTAAATTTTGTATGGAGAATTTTTTGGGGAAATTGCAATTTAAAGGGCATACAAAATTGTTTGGGGTTGCTTTTAAATTTTTGTTTTTATTTACAAAATGAAAAATCTTTTTTTTTTTTGACAAAAATTTGGGGTTTTAATTTTGTGTTTGTCTTCACTACATTTTCCCTTTAATTTTATTTTTTACCTTTACCCAAAAAACTGAAACTTGTGAAAATAAAAAAAAATTTTCCAATGCATTTTATTTTTTTCCCTTTTTTCTTCTGGGTGATGCTTTTTAGGAAAAATATATATTTTCTGGGGGGTTTTACAGTAACTTCTAGTAAAAAAAGCAGATTTTACCAAAAAAAATTTTTTAAAAATTGACCGGTATACAGTTGGGTAAAGGGGTTTGGGGCCATTTGGGGGCGTTTTTTAAAACACCCCAAATACTTTCCCCCAACCCCAAAACCCCTTTAGATATGTTTTTTGGGGGGGGTTTTTTCTCCGGGGGGAAATGACCCTTTTTTGGGAAAATGGGGGCACTGCCCGAGGGCTCGGGGTCGTTTGGGGGCCCCAAGAGATGCCCCTGGTACCTTTTTTTTTTGGCTTTTTTGAGTTTGGGGAAGGACCCCAGGGGCCCCCTGATCCCCTATTGCCCGGGGGGGCCCCCGAGTTGTAAGTTCCCCGCCCCTGGTTTTAACTTTGCAACAACCTTATAGGCAGTGGTTTTTCAACCTTTTTAAGGCCAGCCACCAATTTAAAACCGGGTTTCATTTTTGTTGGGGAACCCCCCCAAACCCTTTAAAAATTATTTTCGTTTTTTACTTCTAAATGTAATTTTGAAATGGGGGACTAGCGCCCCTCATGAAAGTCAGTGGGATAAATAGTGTCCCAACTTTTGGGATCAGTTGGGAGGAAAAAGTGTTAAATTTGGTTTTTATTGGGGGAATAGTGCCCCATCCAAATTTTTGTCCAGTGGGAGGTTTTAGTTTTCCCCTCTTTTGGGATCGTGGGAGGAAAAGTGGGCCCCTCATTGGTGTTTTGTGGGGGGAATAAATGGCCCTTTATTGGTTCAGTGGGGGGGAATAGTTTCCCCCTCAATTTGGTGTCAGTGGGGGAATTTGTGTTTTCCCTCATTGGGCCTCAGTGGGAGGAAAAAGTGCCAAAACTTTTGGCCCTAAGTGGGAGGAAAAAGGGCCCCAAACCCTTGGCGTCAGTGGGGAGGAAATTGTTTCCCAATCATTGGGGTTTAGTGGGGGGGAAAAAGTGGGTTTTTTTTAAACTTTTGGGGGCAGTTGGGGGGAAAAAGGCCCCAAACATTGGCGTCAGTGGGGGGGAATAGTGTCCCATCTTTGGGGATTTTAGTGGGAGGAAAATTTGTGTCCCAATCGGGTCAGTGGGGGGGTTTGGGGTCCCTTTTATTGGTTTTCAAATGGGGAGGAATAGGCCCCCCTCATTGGGATCAGTGGGGGAAAGGGGGCCCCAAACATTTTGGTTTTTAGTGGGGGGGAAAAGTATTGGCCCCAAACATTGGTGTCAGGGGAGGAATAGTGCCCCCCTTTATTGGTGTCAGTTGGGGGGGGAAAGGGCTCCATCATTGGTGTCCCGTGGGAGGAATTGTGCCCCATAAATTTGGTTTTTCAGTGGGAGGAAAAAGTGCCCCATCATTGGTGTCGTGGGGGGAATAGTGCCCATATTTTGGGGGTCAGTGGGAGGAATAGGGGCCCCATCATTGGGTCAGGGGAGGGAATTTGTGCCCCCCCACTTTGGTGTCAGTGGGAGGAAAAGTGCCCCATTTATTGGGGATCAGTGGGAGGAATTTGTTTCCCCAAAACATTGGGGGTCAGTGGGAGGAATAGTGCCCCTTTATTGGTGTCAGTGGGAGGAATAGTGCTTAAAAATTGGGTGTTTTTGTGGGAGGAAAAAGTGCTCCATTTATTGGTGTCAGTGGGAGGGAAAAGTGCCCCCCCCCATTTATTAGTGTCAAGGGGGGGGGGAGGAATAGTCCCAAACATTGGGGGGCGTGGGAGGGAAAAGTTTCCCCCTCATTGGTTTTCGTTTGGGGGAATAGTGCCCAATAATTGGTATCAGGGGGGGGAAAAGTTTCCCCTTAAATTTGGTTTTCAGTGGGAAAAAATAGTTTCCCCTTTATTTTGGGCAGTGGGAGAATTGTGAAAACCCTCTTTGGGGGTCAGGGGAGGAAAAGTGCCCCCTTGTGGGTGTAAATGGGAGGAAAAGTTTCCCATTTGTTTTGGGGTCGTGGGGGGAGGGAAACCCAAATCCCCCCAAACACCCTGGTGTCTGGGGTCGGGGGGGGGAAAAGTGCCCCAATCTTTGGTCAGTGGGGGGAGGAAAGTGCCCCCAAACGTTGGGGCCTCCACTTACACCAATGATGGAGCACCCATTCCTTCCCATGACACCAAAAAAGGGCCTATTCCTACCCAAAAAAACCCCATTATTGGGGGGCTATTTCCCCCCAAAATGACCCAATGATGGGGCAATTTTTTCCCCCCCAATGATACCAAAAGATGGGGCACTATTCCCCCATGACACCAATGGTGGGGCACTACCCTTTCCCACTGGACAACCCAAAAG